TTTACTATCAAACAGCAATGATTTCAACCAAAAGCATTTCAAAATTAACTACACTGCGTCATATTGAAGTTGGGTCACTGTACAGAGTCATGTTGCTTTTTTCTAACTTACAAAACATGCAAACAGGAGGTTTATTGAGAAACAGGAGGTTAATATCTACAGGCGAGCTCGAAACAAGGCATGAAAAATGGTTCTGCCACCACGACAATTACAAACCTGCACGGCAAATATTCTTTGGCATTAGACATGGCTCGAGTGATCTGCTGCTTGACGCATGAGTCACTGCACAAGTTTACTTTGAAACCACTGCTCTCCTTTTACAGGTGCAATCACAGGTAATGAGACCTTTGGTTCTATGCACTCTGTAATTTTCTGGGTTAGACGGAATTCAGGACTGAACGATTAATTACTGACATGAGTCATGTGCAAAAAAAAAAAAAATAGCAGAATACATCTAACTCTGGTGCTATTTTTCTGATGTTTGCATGTCAGAAAGAACTCTGTGGGCGGCCAATCAATTTGCAATTAAAATACAGAACTCTACACAGCTTACAGCAGGACCCACCTACACGCAGTAATACTGCTGCCAGAAACTGTTTCAGGAGGAGTATGCAAAATTTCCAAAGCTTCTGATAAAACATGACAGTTGAGAACCTGTTTGCATAAGAAAACGTACTCATCTCATTCTAGTCGTGCAGCGTTCTGCACCGCACAAAGTTTTGACATTTACATGGTGACCCCAACAAGAGATAGCACACGGTGACAAAGCGACTGCGTATCTTTGCTGAAAAATTCATGAGTTTGACTAATAAGCACTCCAGAGAAATGACTAAATATACATTTTGCTCTTTATAAACAGGATTCTATCTGAGTCATGAAAACTAAAAGATCGAGGGCAGCAGGTGCATGCTGCTAAGCAGTTAGCGTTAAAGATGAAAACTGATGGTCATGTCAGATATAGCCAAAATAGCACAACTATGGACATCAATTCTTTACTGTCCTATCCGTTGCTTCTTCTTTCCTAGAGCATTTATCAAGACATAAAAAAATATCTTGAGACATATCCTCCCATAACACCAAAAGGAACCCACTTTTTTCCCCGAGCTTAGGTTTTGTGAGTCTCTCTATGTTTTCATACACTCTTCCCTGAAGGAACTTCCTGTCAGACTTCTCACTGTCAAACTCATTCAGCAAAAACACTCACAGGACACTTTATTGGGTACTCTGTGCAACCCATGCTTTTGCTTCCAGAAATGCCTTGTTTCTTTTTCACACAGATTTAACAAACACTGGAAACACTCCTCACAGATATTAATCCATATAGATATGATAGCATCACGCGGTTGCTGCAAATTTGTCGGCTGAGAATATCCTGTCCACCACATCCTCCAGGTGCTCTATTAGACTGAGATCTGGTGACTGTGGATGCCATTTGAGTACAGTGAACTGTACATGATGTGAATTTTGTGACATTGTGCGATATCCTATTGGAAGCAGCCATCAGAAGGTGGGTACACTGTGGTCATAAAGGGATGGACATGGACGGACAGCATTACTTGTGTTTCTAGGCTGTGGTATTTAAAAGATGCTCAACTGGTACTAAGTCCTCCAACGCGTACCAAGAAAATTTTGCACCATTACACTGCTGCCTGCCTGAAACAGGGCCTATATGCACCGAGTGGCTGCCATGTGATTGGCTGATTAGATATTTGTGTTAACAAACAGCTGAATAGGTGTACCTAATGAAGTGGCCGATGACAGCATTTATAGCTCTAGCTCAAAAAGAGCTCCACCTGTAGCGGTTCTCGATGTTGTTCATTGTACCTTTTTTTTCCGTCAAAAAAACTATTGATTTTATCTGACTTGTGAGATATCTCATTATTTTAATAATCAATAATAAACTGATATAAGAGCTGTTAAAATAGATAACAGTACAGTGTAAGGCTCCCAAACCAAAAAAGGCTGGTAACTGCTGCCATCACTACAGTCTCATATATAACAAGCTGATAGGGCAAATATTCTCAAACACACGCTGTTGCTGACGGCCTTGTTGTGCTTTCGCACAGATCAGTGTGTCCTCAGCTGTCCCCGGAGCCCACGAGAGTAATTTCCGCGTCAGAGAGCCTCGGCAAATCCGGGGCACACCTGGCTCTCTGCACAGATGGCTGACGGAGCTGTGCTGATATCACTCAGAGAAAATTTCTATCATGTCTTCTATAAACAACACAGTACTTGGGAGCACTGTCATTCTGTGGGCTATGATGATTATTTAAGCATGCCGACTCACAGTGACTGTCACTGTGAGCGTTTGGTTAACAATAACAATTACATTGTGAAAGGTGCAAAACAGTGTGCGTGTGACTCAGTAATTTAGATGCAAAAGGGAACTGAAGAAAATAAATGATAAAATAAAAGTTTGTATTTACTTTGGAGTCTGATATTACTACATGAGAACAAGATCAGTTTAATTTCAATATACATTCTCCTCTTAAATAAAAGCATTAAGTATTATTAACATGTCTTATTAGAAAAATCTGATGTAAACAGTTATTGTTGTCAGAATACACTCATTAACCACTTTCTTAGATACACCTGTTAATGTAAATATCTAGTCAGCCAATCAACTCCTTGCATTTAGGCATGAAGTCATCGTCAAGACGACCTCCTGAAGTTCAAATTGAGCATCAGAATGGAGAAGAAAGGTTAATTATTTCAATTTTTTGAAATTATAGCTGGTTTTTCCTGCACAGCCATTTATCGAGTGGCAGTTCTCTGGGTCAAAATGCCTTGCTGATGTCAGAGGTCAGAGGAGCATGGACTGATTCAAGCCACAACAACAGAAGACCACACCAGGTGATATTCCTTTCAGCTAAAAAAAAAGAAAACTGAGGCTACAATTTGCATGGGCACCATGTTTGGAAAACAGAAGGCTGGAAAAATGTTGCTTGGTCTAATGAGTTTCCATTTTCACTGCAACCTTTGAATGGTGCGGTCAGGAGTTAGAGTAAACAACATGAAAACATGGATCCATCCTGCCTTCTTTCAGGCAGGAAGTAGTAGCTCCATCAACCGGGGTTTAATGGTCCGGGAAATATTCTCTTGGCACACTTTGGACCACTTGGTACCAACAAAGCATCATCTAAACACCATCTACCTGAGTGTTGTTGCTGCTGACCGTGTCCATCCCTTTATGACCGCAGTGTACCATTTGCTGATGGCGGCTTCGTGTCACAAAACTCAAATCATCTCAAACATGACATTGAGTTCACTGTATTCAAATGAACTCCACAATCACCAGATCTCATTCCAATACAGCACCTTTGGGATGCAGTGGAATGGGAGATGCGCATCATGGATGTGCAGCTGATAAATCTACATCAACTTTGTGATACCGTGATTTCAATATGGACCAAAACTCTGAGGAATGTTCCAAGCAACTTAAAAGGAGTGTAACCTAGTACTAGAAAGGTTTAACTGACAATGTGACCAGTGAGTCAGTAGATAAATTATAGTTTCCGTCAAGCTGCATTTGTATAAACTGTTTTTAAGAGCTTTATATGTTGTGTGTGCAAGAGAGTAAAGCCACCAGATAAAAGTACACCATTTCCTACTGAGATGTCATAACAGCGACATGTGATGCAATTTGTACGCAAGTACAGAAATCAAATAATTCCACCACTTATTTCAGGAGTGGTTTACAGTAATAGCTTAGATGACACAACGTGAACTTGCCTAACAACAGTTGGATGAGCCACACATGAGTCATTCGTGATTCACCATTAAAAGCAGAAATGCCAACACTAACAGTATCAGCCAATGTCATTACATCACAAGTGGCCCAAACTCTTAACGGTTGCCATCACAACACAAACTTCGTTTTATTGCCGTTTAATCAAAAAACGTGACACAAGGCAGGCAGTTGGCAGCTTTAGTAATACGCTGCCCACAAATTGCAGGGACGGCTGAATGTACAAATGCAAGCAAGTGTTTTATCTAAGTGACTAGAAACACCCAACATGCCATTCAGTTCTGTTGGCTTGACAAAAAAAAAAAAAAAAAATCAGCAAAAGTCTGCTGTCATCACATTTAGTACCAGAACAATCCAGATTACTTCCCCGTTGAATATCCAAATCGACAGGCAGAGCCCTGGTGCTGATGTGGATATTTTGAAATGACTGAGGCAGCAACGCTTCCACATGCTTCGCACAAAGTCAGCTGATTCACTGCCACCCAACAAAGCTTTTGAAGTCATGTCAACACGCAGTTTAAACACCCCCAATGGGAACCTGCACACCATCCTGCAGTGCAATGTCATCGCGGCGCTTAGCAACCAATCCAAAACAACAAACACGCACACATCAGCTCCATCGCTGTCCAGATGGTGAGTAGCAAACTTCGAAAGAAACCAACATCTTAATCTGTGTCTCTCTGTGTGTAATTAAACCGAGAAGCACAGAAAATTCATTTTACCCAGCTTTAGGAGGCGATCACCAGTAAGCACAACACTGCCAGTCCTCTTTGTTAAAGGACGGAAACACAAGTCTTTGGCAGAGCTGAGAAAGTCTGGCTCGCAAGCTGAGATTTCACATGTTGTCGGCCGACATAAGGATTTTATGTACGTGTGTGAAAAAGGAATGTGAAGGAAAAAAAAAAGGAAGCAGCCCTGCTGCAAATTCGATCAGCTGAGTGAGTAATAACATTAGCTCACGCTCTATTAGTGTGCGTGCACGCACAGGGCAGAGGTTTAAGCTGTGCTAAATGAGAGCCTCCCTGAGTCTCGAGAAGCTCCTTCTATTTCTGTCCGACTGTTTGTTTTCATCGCTGGTTTAGTCATGTGTTCGTGCCAGTGGTCACAGAAGCACACATGACCACGCTCACAGGTTGAAAACACATTCAAAAAACAAATGCTCGTGATAGTTTCAACACTGTAGGTTTATAGTAATGATGCCAAAAGCCAGCAAAATGAAAAATGATCTTCCTGAAAACAACTTTTACTTTACCTGGAGCTTCCTCGAGTGGCTTCACAGCAGGGCACAAGAAGGTCTGAAAACTGGACACACATAGTTCACTGACTGTCCCCATAGCTCTGGCGTGCTAATCTCCGTATCTGAGTGTACGTCTCAGACTGCAGCTGTGTATCGTCCTGAGTTCCTCCCTCCTTATGACTGTGATGTGAAAGAAAAGTTGTGAAGATCCCAGTCTCCCCAGTGCACCTGTCACTCCTTGCTCCCAGCTGTTCCCTCCATGGAAGGATTCCAACTGTAAAATCCTGCACTGTGTCACTTTGCTTCACCTAATCCCCCCCACCCACCCCCCACCCCAAGTTGGATGACGCTCCTCGGCCAATGTCTTACACTAACCTACTTTCTCTTCCCCTTTGTTGAGAATGTGCAACTTGCTATCGGATGCTAAAATCACTTCTGCTTTCTCCCCCGTTCCCCTTTTCCGCTGGTATCTGAGCCTCGCTCTTATCCTCCTCTGCTCCCTCTCTCTCCCACTAGCTACCTCACATACTAATTCTTGACAGGCTGCACACAAAATATATTAACGTATCTGCGACTGCTGCAGCAACCACGTACGACTGGTTCAATCTGAAAAGTCGCTTGAAGAAGGGATGGAGTTCTGTTGTTTTCATGGAAATTATGGCAAAAATAAATAAATAGATGAAAGTCAGCAGTATGCTTTTTTTTTTGTCCACTCCAGATTTTTATTTCCATCTCCACCCTCTGCTGCTTTTAGCTTTTAGTCACTCGTGGTTTTTTGGCTTGAAAAGCATTAAAAAAAAAGAGGCAAGATTTCATTGTTGCTTGGCAACAGGATAGAAGAAATAACTAGCTCCTGGGCCAAACACTGTGAGCCATTTGTTTTGATTAGATTATTCTCACACTCGGTGAGGGTTATTCGCAGTGACACGATCGCATTTTGGGGCTGTATAACGCACATGGGTTTCACAACAACAACAACGGCAACAAAAATGTGCTCGTCAACGATCTGTTTCAGATTCTCGCTTCCTCTCGTGGAACAAAATGCAAACGATTAGCTTCCCTCTTGAACTCGTGTCACCTGCCACTCTGCATTACCCCACTTGTCAGTCACTCCTTAATTACTCCTTCTCTGCGAGTCATTCATTAATCCTTCAACTCCGCCCTCTCTGTCAATCATGTTTCCATTGAAAAGCAATATAGGGGTGACTCGATAAGGAATGCAATAAAGTAAGACGTGCTTCGTGGTTATGGAAATCATTATGATCTAACAAGCACTGCCTAGTTCATTATATGAGGGCACAGTGCTTCAACTTGACCTCTGTATGAACTGCAAAGTCAGTTCTGGGTACTTTAAATGCTGCAGCTGCACATCACCTAGACAGAACAGCTCTGTCACCAGAGGAACGGCACACAGTGAAGTCAGCACAAATCTTCCGCCTCTTTTTTTTTTTTCCAGATTTGTTCCTCCCCCCTCGCTCGACAGCACAACACAAACACACTGAAAATGTTTAAATCTGTGTATTTCACTGAACTTTTATGGAGCTATTCTAGTCCACAGAGCAAACTTTAAATGCTCTAATGAAACTCATAAAAGCCAATTAGCCAAATCGACAACAGTTCATTTGAATTAATTATTTTTGCACTGCAGTTTATTACGGACTAATGAGGACGTCAAGTGCAACACGCAACTAAGCTGCAAATGCAGTCATTCAAAGAGAGATCCCCAAGATGCCCAAACTGTCACAATTTAAATGCTAATACTGATTTGTTATATAACACACTTTAGATTGCTTTAGTCAAAAAAGCACATGTTAAGTCACTGATTGATTCCTCACGAACCCCAAACGGGAGAAAACATCTAATGACCCTCAAATATGTGAGTAAACTAAAAATCTACAGCAATGCATTGATTACAACGTAAACTGCACTTTTTCTGCAATATGAGTTCCCAGAGTAGGATGCCATCGCAAAAGAATTCCCTAAACAAATCAAAAGAGTTTAAATTATACAAATAATCTAATGCATCCACTCCTAAGTGATTAAACCGCTAGGAGGCTAACGACTGTACTCTGTCACACCCGATCCAACCCCTACTTGTCTTATAGTGACGGTGCAAGAGTCTGGGTGTTGTCATGGCTTAATTGCTAATTGTGTTTATCCAACAAAGTATGGATGCCACTTCTTGGCCTCATACTCTCTGGGCTGTCATTTTTAGCTGAAGTCAATCAAAATAATGCCAAATAAAACCAGATCTGGTGTCAGTCTCCACTTTATGTTGTGCTATTGAGCCAGTTCGTAACAACTGAAGCAGTTTGCTTTGATATGGTTTCTTGTAAGTGTTGCCATGTACAGCATGAAGGCCTTTTTCGTTTAACTGGCCCCAGATGAACCACTTCCTTGAGCATGGCATGCCATCATGTGGACACTGCATGCAACAACAACTCTTATTTTCACCTCCCCTAGCAGGCTACAAGTCTTCTGGAGTTAGGAGACTGGAGACTGAGTGCAACAGTCATGAGTAAAAATTACAATAAGAAAACCGATAACTTCCCCATCAGATTACACGATTCTGATGTGAATCAGTCATCAGTAAATGAGTAGACAGCTACGGAGGTGAACGTGTTGTCTTTTTTGGTAAAATCATTTCCCAGGTGGAAGATAAAATCTACAGGAAGCTTTCTGATCTGTGTTGGTGGAACTCCTACATGGGAGCCTAATGATAGCATCACCTCTGGTGACTAACAACTGGCTGAGTGGGGGCAGAGCCAGCGACTCTGCTGATACAACCAGAGTGATATGAAGGCTAGAGCTTCTACACCTGAACAGGCTGAATGAGCTTAACAATATCTCCACAATAGTATCATGCAGCACTCGTTGCTCAGCTTTGAGCACTTCTCTTCATCTGTGTCTCTTTCTGATCGGTGCAAATTTAATCACATTAAACAAACCATTAAATTCATTTTGCTTCTTATTTCTGGAGTTATATCTTACACGATCAAGAAAGTAGAACAGCTGTAGCATCTTTGGTGTGATTTTTATGTAACTACTTATTTCTTGCTATTAAGAACAAGTTGTGTCTGCATAAGCCCGCTGAGAGTTTGCTGCTTCCGTGACAGTGTCAGTATGCTTTGAACACGAAAGGAACTTAGAGCTGGAGTAAACGTGTCACATGGCTGAAGAGTGACAGTTTAAGGGAAAAATACTACAAAAAGAAAACAAGAAAAAACACACACACGCAGCATTAAGACCAGCAGAAGCATATCTATTTCAGGAGAGGTCAAACTGACAGAGAGAAAGATGACACCCATAACCACAGAAACCACATATACCTGTCACCCTAGAGCACCAGCGCACCACACCTATGAGCAGTTGCACTGTTTCCTTTGTGCGCATTTTATTATGCAAAGAGAAACCGAACTGCGCTGACAGGTGCAAGTAGATGGGAGGGGGTGCACACAAAAGAAAAAAAACATTTTGACACCCTGCAGCTCAAATCCTTTTAAGTAAGTCTTGAAACCCAGCCACGCCTCATGAATCCCCAGGTAGTTGGTTTAGGGCGCCAGCACCCAGCAACATCACTGGAACACGGTTCAGAAACCTGTTTCGATGATAATCCTGTTGTAAATGTAAGAAGGCGGCTACGCGGGTGAAGCCACGACGCAATAAATTATACAAATTACATTAGAAATATAGCCAGCCTCCAGACGAATGTTGTGTTTTGTTATATAAGTCCGGACTAATAATAAACTGCAGTGGGGAAAAAAAAAAATTGTGCCAAAATAAAACGACATCTCCACTTTTACTTCCATCTTCTTCCCGTCTTCTTGCTCACAGAGGAGATGATATGCTTTGCACTTCTTCATTCAGATTCACAAGCTGTCGATTTGACTAAGAAGGTGTCGGGGACAACGAGAGTGTTATCTGAATGCGCTGGGTGCTTCAGCGTGTCTCTTTTCTTATACCTCACACTTCAGCAGATAATTACATAATCACCAACTGATTCTTTCAGCTCCTTTGCAAATAAGGCATATCATTATCATGTTCTGGGGCTGACAGGAAAACACCCTGCACGGGCTACCCAAAGTCACCACCTATGGACTCTTTATAGCAATTGCTCCTTTGTCAGGAGCTGTGATACTTCCATTAGACTAAAACTTCCCCTCATTTTTGGAAAAGAGATGAGAAGCATCATCCCCCTCCTTCTCCTGCTCCCTTCAGCAGAGCATCAGTAGAATTTCTTGCAATGAGGCCATTGCTGGAGGTTCTATTTTGAGATGCATTAAGCTCACTAAAAAAAAAAAAAAAAACTAAACTACTAAATAATTGAGAATAAGGCTCTATCATATTCTAAGCTGAGCCACCAGCTAGCTCATCCCGGTCTGACATCATCAGGGATGTCACCATACACTTGATGACATGATGCTGAATTGCCAGTAAATATGGCTCACATTTTTTTTTCAACACAAGTAGTTGTATAAGAAGGCATTCTGTAAAAAAAAAAAAAGAAAGAAAGAAAAAAAGAAAAGAAAAACTATGTCAGCCTCAAAATAGATCCCAGCCTGATATCCTATAAATAAATCAGTCCGGATCATGTAAACTCCCAAAAGAGCAGGAACTTTTCTGTTTCTCCCTGCTGTTGTTTTTGAGTGTAAAAATCCGAATTATTATTATTATAATTATTGTTTTCACAGCTGTCACCCTGCTGTCATAGCTGCAGTGAGATGCTAAATAATTAATTGCGTCGACCTTTTTAGATGGGTGCATACCACAGAGACCACCTGTTTTAAAGCTGGCTTTAGATTGCATCCTTCTTCCTGTTCCTGTGTATGCGCTTAGACTACATAAACACGGGCAAGTGTAGGATGAAAACAACACGGCATACAGGCCTGCTGCGGACTAGGACTTACTTTGAAGTGTGACACGTTGTCATTTTTTAACAGTTTCACCAAACAGACAGGCAGTAGTGTGGACATAGCTCAGTGGGCTGCATTTTTTTTTAATCTCTTGGCACAGCAGGAACACGGACACGCTACGGCAGTGCTGTAAAGCATGCGCTCATGCAGTGTCAGGCTTTGGATCAAAGCGTCTGCTACATGCCAAACAGTCTGCGTGAAACAGTGCGATGAGGACAAACCGTAATTCTCCCCCTCCATCCCGGTGGTGCTGATGCTGCTGCTGCTTCTGCGGCTGATGAAGGCGTCTCTGTCCGGGGATGTCTCTCTCCAAGCGCCCGCAGCAACTCCGTTACCTGCCGCCCTCCTTCCCTCCCTTTCTCGTCTCTTCTCTGGCTTCGCCTCACCTCCCAGCTCTC